CTCTCTCTCTCTCTCTCTGTCTCTCTGTCTGTCTCTCTCTCTCTGTCTCTCTCTCTGTCTGTCTCCCCCCTCCCTCTTCCTGCTCATGCTAGTATGTGAAGGGCATAAGGGAAAAACAAGGGATGCTACTTATATTACTTATATCTGTTTATCTATATATTATAGACGTGGCGATCGTTGGGAAGCTGTTTATCTGTTCAAGCCCAGAAAGCAACATTTTTCTGGAGATGGGAAAATAGTGTTTGATTCTTTTAAAAATTGTACCCAAATGCTGTATTTTCTCTTGATTTTTTATCACCATATAAAATATATAACTGTGGGTGGTTAACGGGTGCACTGGTGTTATTTGCTCCTACTTTCTATCAAACGCCTATCGTTCTTATCTCTCTTCCTTTTTTTTGTGTGTGTGTTTTACTCTGTAACACCTCTAATTTTCAGCCCGTATCTGACCTTATTGTGTTGAAAGAACTGTAATACTCTTGCGAAACCAAAACTAAAAAAATGTATCACTACCTAATGCATCATTGAGTCCACGACGTGTGGTGTTACTGCCCTGGATATGATCTATAAACAACTTGAGAAGGAATGCTATGCGGGTGGTTGGCGGATACTCAGATGTAGTTTGCTCCTTCTTTCCTATCAAACATCTGTCGTCCTTATCTCTAGCTCTCCTTCTATTTCTGTGTTTGTTACTCTCTTGTAATACCTCTAATCTTCGACACTTATAAGACCTTCTTGTGTTACAAGTACCGTAAAACTCTGAATAACACTAAAGGAATGGCTATACTTAAACTAAAACTAAGGGATTGTTATCCGAGTCCACAGACTACAATATTCCAGAAGGACTGTCAGTTCCTAATACGTTGCTTTCTCGTCTCTTCAGGTGCAAAGGTTTCTTCAAGCGCACCGTGCAGAACAAGCGTGTGTATACGTGTGTGGCGGAGAGCAACTGTGAGATCAATAAGGCACAGAGGAACCGCTGCCAGTACTGCCGCTTCAAGAAATGTCTCAAGATGGGCATGGTGCTTGCTGGTGAGTGTGTGTGTGTGTTTGTTTGTATGTGTGTGTGTATGTGTGTGTGTATGTGTGTTTGCGTGTGTGTCTGTCTGTCTCTCTGCCT